CGAAGCAGTTTATTCTCGATATTGATATTTTATAGGCTTAATAAACATGGAAATTATATATATATATATATATATAACCATGCGTCATGTACCCTGGTTGTTAAATACCATTATTGCTGGCATAATGGTTTATTGTATACTCTTTTACAATGGATAGAAAGTGGATCATTGCTCTAAAAGTTTGGAAGGCAGATTATAATCTAAATGTAGGCCATTGTTGATGTTTGGCTTTATCTTAACACTTGCACAAGTCTTGCTTTTGTATTAAATTTTGAAGAAACAATGAATGGAATTTTTGTTTAATCTCCTGATAACATGTTCTACCTTCCACTATCGGTAAAATGAAGCTGTTGTTTTTTAAGCCTATGAACTTTGCAGCAAGTTCATTATCCCACTTGCAAGGCCTATTTGGTATTTTGGATGTTACATATGCACTCTTTTTAACAAATACTTAGTGTGTGAATGTTTAGTGTACTGCTAGTATACCAAATATATATTTACATGGAATAGAAATAAACTACAAATACTAATTGTACTGCTTATTTCTGTCATAGGGATATCTAGTGCCTACATTTTATGGGTATTACTATTAGTTCTTTAAACAGATGGCTATATAGCTTAACAAAACTGGATTTCGCAAAGAGGCAATGCATGCAAATCCTTGAATGTAATGTGAAATTAATCATAAGAGCACTAAGTAATTTTCAATAATATACCAGTGTGAGATCAGCTTTTATTTCTGCTTGATCTTTATAAAATAGGTAATCGACACCAAAAACAGATGATACAGCATTGAAACAGTAAAAATCCCACTTACAGGTAAAAAGAACACCACTAACAAGGCCGTCTAACTATTAAATTTACAAGATGAAATGATATTCATCTCAAATGGGCAAACTAGAAATTATAATCTACAGAATGAAGAAAAATGGTAATAGAATTTTACGTAATGACACTGATTAAATAACATTGCACAATCATTATTGTAACATGTTCAATGTGACAAAACTGACCATTAGAGCACAACCATGAAAATAAATATCCTTTTGCCATAATGTTACAAACCCAATGAAAGCAAATAAGATCACTAACACAAAAACAGGACCTGATGCAAAGGGAAATAAAAAGACACTATCAATGCTTCTCACCAAAGATGTCAACCTTTGCATGTTAACAAGTGTCAAAAATGGAATATTTCTCTTATTTAAAAGAATGGGATATGAAAACATTTCAAGAATCTTGAAAAAATGCAATGTTATTCATAAAAATATTTGACTTAAACCATTTAAAATTGCCATCATGTTATGATGTAACACTAGTGCGCCTGATTTGGTCTGAAAGTGCAATTTCAGATCAGAACTGGCCTGACATGGTCTTAAAGATTAACCTGAGTCTTCAAACATACCGACTCTGTTTTAAGATCAAAACTGATCTAAATCACAGTGAGTAAGGTTATAATTAGACTGACTTCCACTTAATTTCTTAAGCAATATTCAAGCTGACAGATTTGGATCTCTTTCATGTGTTTTAAGATGACGCACGTATGAGTGGTTATAATGGGTTTTGAATGTGCACTTGCTGCAGGTAAAGGTTTTATCACTGTGAGTGGCCATGTGTATCTTTAAATGCTGTTGACTAGAATAGCTTTTATCACATAGATTACAGTCATAGCAGGCAATGTGTGTCCTCAGATGACGACTGAGGTAGGTTCTTGAAGAAAATGACTTCTCACATACATGGCACTGGTGGACTTTTTCTCCATGCAGCTCATCATGAAGCTTGAGACCCTGGCTGAAATACGAAAATAATACTTTTATTACTATTGCAATTACATTGTTAACTAGAGGATCAGAGAGGTGATACCGCCTCCGGATATTGTACCACNCAGTAATAGAATTTTACGTAATGACACTGATTAAATAACATTGCACAATCATTATTGTAACATGTTCAATGTGACAAAACTGACCATTAGAGCACAACCATGACAATAAATATCCTTTTGCCATAATGTTACAAACCCAATGAAAGCAAATAAGATCACTAACACAAAAACAGGACCACTGTGTTCATATATAAAATCACCTGATGCAAAGGGAAATAAAAAGACACTATCAATGCTTCTCACCAAAGATGTCAACCTTTGCATGTTAACAAGTGTCAAAAATGGAATATTTCTCTTATTTAAAAGAATGGGATATGAAAACATTTCAAGAATCTTGAAAAAATGCAATGTTATACATAAAAAATATTTGACTTAAACCATTAAAAATTGCCATCATGTTATGATGTAACACTTGTGCGCCTGATTTGGTCTGAAAGTGCAATTTCAGATCAGAACTGGCCTGACATGGTCTTAAAGATTAACCTGAGTCTTCAAACATACCGACTCTGTTTTAAGATCAAAACTGATCTAAATCACAGTGAGTTAGGTTATAATTAGACTGACTTCCACTTAATTTCTTAAGCAATATTCAAGCTGACAGATTTGGATCTCTTTCATGTGTTTTAAGATGACGCATGTATGAGTGGTTATAATGGGTTTTGAATGTGCACTTGCTGCAGGTAAAGGTTTTATCACTGTGAGTGGCCATGTGTATCTTTAAATGCTGTTGACTAGAATAGCTTTTATCACATAGATTACAGTCATAGCAGGCAATGTGTGTCCTCAGATGACGACTGAGGTAGGTTCTTGAAGAAAATGACTTCTCACATACATGGCACTGGTGGACTTTTTCTCCATGCAGCTCATCATGAAGCTTGAGACCCTGGCTGAAATACGAAAATAATACTTTTATTACTATTGCAATTACATTGTTAACTAGAGGATCAGAGAGGCGATACCGCCTCCGGATATTGTACCACCAGCTGGAGTAAGCGCATTCGTATGGACCCCCCCCCCCAAAAAAAGGGACACCATCACCAGTCTTGTGCTTGACAAGCTCTATAAAATGCAATCAACAAGAGTTCTCAAAATATGCCAAAAAATATAAATAAAAATGGTACAATCAAGCAGATTTTTGAACTGACCTGCATTTTCCTACCATTGATCACTCCTGTGATTCTCTAGACAAAAGGCCTATTGGTTTTCCTTAAAATGTGTTGTCAGTGGTGCATATANACATATCTCTACCAGTTTTAGAGAGAAAAGGGAACCAAAATTTGCAAAGTTCAGTTCATGGTGAAAAGGAGGTCAGAGGTCAATTTAAAGGTCACAGTAAGATTGCCAGTATATGACTTCCTACTCAAGTTCAACAGTAGCTATGGGGGTATCTTTGCCAGTTTAAGAGATGTAAGGGCTAGAAAATTTGCAAATTTCAGTTCATGGTGTAAAGTAGGTCAGAGGTCAATTTCAGGATCACAGTTAGATAATAATAATAATAATTTATTTATTGTCATATTTATACAAATATAAAATGAAAGTTGGTATGATCTGTTGATAAAATGTGATACAGTGGAATTATTAAAATACATTTTGTTCATTAAAAATACGTACTGCTGATGGATAAAAACTATTCTTAGTGCGCGTGGAGGTTGCTTTTAATGACCGCAGTCGGCTTGTTGACATATGCATAAGTAGGCTATTCGCTGGGTGACCAGGGTCACTCGTGATTGACTTTACTTTCTTGAGCACTCGTCTCGTATACAAACATTCAATAGACGGCAGGTCCCTACCTACAATGCGCCTGGCAGTTTTTACTACGCGGTTGAGCCGATTCTTGTCCTCTACTGTAGCACTACTGTACCAGACGGTGAAAGATTGTGTTAGCAATTAGATTGCCAGTATATGACTTCCTATTCAAGTTCAACAGTAACTATGGGCATATCTTTGCCAGTTTTGGAGATATAAAAATCAGAAAACTTGCAAAGTGCAGTTCATTATGAAAAGTAGGTCAAAGGTCAATTTCAAGGTCACAGTTAGATTACCAGTATATGACTTCCTATTCAAGTTTAATAGTAACTATGGGCGTATCTCTGCTAATTTTGTAGTATTTCACATTTTATTTTCACCACTAAATATTGGATGTTGAACTGTCGATATAGTACAATGCCTAAGCCGTATCGAAAACAAAAAACGGAGACCACCTTCAGTGTTGCGCTTGACAAGCTCTACAAAATGAAAAAACAAGAGGTCTCTGGCATTAACAGTTCCAGAATTTGAGAGAGTTTTCAGTTTTGGCATCTATTGGCCGCTACTCCCGTGAAAATGCACCGATTGACCCCAAACTCACGAAGATGAAAGAAGACCCTAAGGGGTAACACCCGTCCATAATATTATAAGTTAGATCTGTGAAGTTTCTGAAAATCGGCATAAAATAATAATTTTTTTGCAAAAAATTTCCATTTTTAGAAAATTTTGGCCCGTTTGACCTTGAAATAAAGATCAAAGGTCAAATCCAAGGGCATATTTGAAATCTCCACATATGACTTTCGGTCAGCCATCTGTAGAAATTTTTCACATAATTCCTTCGGTATGGGAGATATTTAGCATCGAATTTTCAAAAATTTTGACAAGGGTGCGTTACAACGAGCGCCACACCCAGGCCAATGCACCGACTGAGACAAAAAAACCAGGGGGTTCAAGTTGAGATTATATGTGACCAAAATCCAAGAGATGGGGACATAGGTCCTTGCGGTCTAGGAGGAGAAGCGGTAACGGTGACTTGTATCCCACGCCATCCTGCGGAGCCGCAGGAGCCGGCGGAGCCGCAGGAGCCGGCGGAGCTGTACGAGACGGGTCGGGACTAAAACCATGAGTACCGCCAGCGTACACGCTGGTGGTACTAATAATTGAGTTTGGTACAAATAAAACAATGCCAGAATTCACCTGTGCACTTAAGCTTCTTGATGTAACTTATACATATATTTTTCTAATACATGACAATAATGATTCATCTGTATAAAGATACGTACAGAGTACTAACTGTCTTGTCACAGCGAAGGCAATGGAATTTTTCCTCCGTGTGATTAGCCCTCTTGTGGTCTTCAAGCTTAGATTTGGAGTGAAACCCTTTGTTGCATTCCAAACAGTTGAATGGGTAAATACCGGTGTGGGTCCTACTGTGTTTTTGTAGGGCACACATTGAGCTAAACACCTTATCACACCCGCTTACTCTACACTGGAACACAGCTCTATCTGGAATAGAAACCAAATCACAAATATGGCAGCAAAGCTGTTGAATGTACAGGCAAAAAGCAGAAAATAATGATGCACAAAATAGGCTACTGTCAGACCTGATGCAATAATACATTATGCTTCACAGCAAAGTCAACACCAAAATTTTATTTTGCACAACGGGTCAAATGTGTAGGTCAATTGAATACTCAGGCCTACCCAACTACCAGACTCGGCACCTAAGGATCCCGAATTAACCGGTATATTGGACCACGCTACCCGTTTTCAAGGTGTGTGTCAGATCGCATTTCGGAGTATCATACCCCAGAACAAATTTTGTAGCACGACTGCGGGCTCATCCACGCTCGGCTGAACAACCTTAAACTGTACTCTTACTTTAGAGTACTCTATTTTATTGTCTCTATGGGGATATATGGGGACTTTACGACATTCGGTTTGAATGTTTTAACCACTTTTGATAGGGCTTTTTTGCATTGTATTAGATTAATGTGGCAGTCTAAGGTTCATCTAGGTGGCTTTCAAAATTATGCACCCGGTTTTAAAATCATATAGCGATTTTACGACAATCGTTTACTATCCAATCAAGGTGACAGCCGAGCATGTCAGGGCTCATCCTGTCGGTGTTCTGGCTGATACTCCGAAATGCGATCTGACACACACCTTGAAAACGGGTAGTGTGGTCCGATATACCGGTTAATTCAGGATCCTTAGGTGCCGAGTCTGGTAGTTGGGTAGGCCTGATACTGTTGCAGCTAAGGTGAGGAAATTTTTTTCTCCAAGTGATTTAAAAATACTACAATAAAATTTCACATCTAAATGCCCTGATTAAATGTTACCTTCATCAATACCAGAAGGCACAGAGTATCAAGTCTCATCTACAAGTGAAAAAGCCAGAAAATAGTCAATGTTTTAACCTATGCAGATAACCAAACAATTGTTTGAATAATCATAAAGTTTAGAAAGCACTTCAATATCATTTGAATTGTGACAAAATTCATGTTTTTTTTTCTTTTTTTTTTCCAATCTGCAAATTTCATTCTACACTTAAACTCTTCCTCGGACTCTAAGGACAGTAACCAGCAGTTTCAAAGGGGGTGTTCTATTTCTGAAAAAGTGGACCTCTATCACAAAAATAAAAAAAGGTTTTTATTGAAGAAAACCTAAGATGTTAATTATTCAAATATATTTAATTTGCTGAAAAGTATTGAAGGCTATCTTTCATTAACAGGGAATATATTCAAGTGAAAAGAAAAATTCCAATATACTTATTTTTGCTGCTAATAAGCACAATATAAAAATTCATGATATCCTATGTTACTGGTTCCTAATCTTATGTGTTGAAAGACTTATAATTTCTCCATATAGTGCATATCACAAAAAGATAACCCAGGCCAGCATTTTTGAGAAATTTATTAAAAAGGATTCCTGCCCCATTGCATTCGGACATTGCATTGGACACAATGCTATTTTTATTGTAGATTTACATGTTAACATAAGTATTTGCAGGCCTACCCAACTACCAGACTTGGCACCAAATGATCCTGAATTCACCGGTAGATCGGACCCCACTACCCGTTTTCAAGGTGTGAGTCAGTACACGCTTCAGAGCCGAGTTTGGTAGTTGGTATTTGTGATCATTCGGTGCCAAGTCTGGTAGTTGGGTAGGCCTATATGTGTCAATTCCTTAACCTGCAAGTCATATTTTGTAACATCTTTTTCATTCTTCACTATGTCCAGTGTAACATCCAATAGTCAGTACCTCCACTCCTTTTCATTAAAATGCAACATTGTCAAATATAATGAGAAAATCTGACTAGTTTTATTTAATTGCATTTTCTCAACAATTTAAATTTAAATTTAAGTGAATAACACTCAGTTGAGCTACTAAACTAATGGTTTACAATGTCAGGTGTTACATTTTGCAGTTGGACACAGTGTAACACTAGCAACTGTGTCCATGTAATATCCAACAACGAGTTTCAGGTCAATACTGTAACAGATCTCACACAAACACTGCCTCCACTTTTGATGTTTACTGGTATAATTTGTTTTGGCGTGTGTCTGTACATGCCATAAGGACCACTTGGTGTGGGGGTGGCTCTACAGAAAGTTCTGGTGTAATCATCTCAACCTTCTGGAGTATCTTTCTCTGTTTAACTCTCACGGCAGTTTTCTTATGTGGAATGTGTACGGACTGTTCCTCCATAAATTTCTTAGCTGCTTCTGTCCCCTTGTGCTTCTGTCTTCTTTTGTACAGGCTGTTAGGTGGGGATGATATTGCAACACCTTTAACTTGCAAAATAAGACACCTCTTGCAAAGTGATTTCTTCAAAGAAGACAGTATGCTCCCCAATTTTTTTCCACATTATTGCCCCGAGGCATTTTGAAGGGAGGAAGATGTATGGCACTCTGAAAATTTGAAATAATTATAAGCACACTATTAAGGGAATGTCTCTATAGGGAGATATGAATGTTCACTGTACAAAATAGGAGAGGGTTAGTCAATAATAAAAATTAATAAAACAACATAAAGCTGCAGCTAAATGAAAATACCTTTTAAATGAGAAAAATTCAAAGTTACCGAATATTAAAAGTGTGATAACCTTTTGCAGTCCTTTTTCGCTTGTAATATGCATTACGGTTTTTTTCTCTGTGACATTTCCATTTCTGTTGGGTCCACTGTTCCCTTTGTTTCCTTTTGGACATTTTCCATTTTTCTCTTTGAAGCTTAACAGCCTTTGTATTTCTTTTCTCTTTTGGGCGTGTGGTTACTTTCTTTTGGTTAATTGTTACCTTTGATTTTTCTGCTTTCTGCTTGGCCCTAAAATTGTCAGAAATTATAATAATAAATGATTATAAAAATATGCTTATAACAGTTAGTGAAATCATAATCCTTCAAAGAAAAATAAATAGTTAACCTTCATAAGTTATCCAGAATATTCATTTTACAGTGATAACTCTGTAAATTGTTTTAATATTCATAATTTTCTTAACCTTTAAAACATCAGCTGGTATTATTATAGCTTACACAATTTCTATAAATCAAACCAGCTGGTTTTTTATATCTTGCTCTCCTCTGAGTTAGCTGAGTGATCCTAGAATTTACCTAAATCTGCGCACACGCTCTCTGGTAAGCTCCCTCTGTCGTGCCTTTTCCTCCTCTGTCTTAGCTTTACGTCGGTTAGCCCTGTTCCTTTCCCTGTCTTTTTGCTTCTGTTTTTCACTACGAATGGGGTCTGATTTCATATTCTCCCGCCATTCCTTGCAACTTAATTTGTTCTTTTCCCTCTTTCTTTGTTCTCTCTCTTTATGACTTAGAGCCACTGGGGACAGTGGTCTCTCACATAGACCTGAAAAGGGCAATTATGTTTAAGTATTACTCCAAATCTGGTAAAAACACAGAAGACAGATGATTAAGTCAAATGTAATATTCATTGGCATATCTGAATTGTTAAAAATATGTTATGAAAAGCAGACCACCAGTATCCAGGAGGGGTAGATGCCTTAAAGTCCAATGTTTACCCCCCCCCCTTTTAAAAAAATTGGGCAGGGGTTCCCCCTGTCGCTGGGTAACAGCAGGGTAGGCTGGCCAAAAGGTAATGGAGTGTTTTATTCTAATACTGTTGATTCATAAATGTGAGGTAAATGAAAATAAGGAGGTGGTTAAAAGTCTTAAAGATATGAAGTAGGACAGCTGGTCTGCGTCAAATGGAATTGCTTGTCAAAAAAAAAAAAAAAAAAAAAAAAAGAGAACAAATGCAACGTGATATCATGTATCTGAACACAGAAATAATAAATTGTTTGAGAAAACCATGCTTCAAACTGATAAAATAAAGTTAACTTTTGTACTAAGAGGCATGTAGCTTCATTGTCCGACAATTGCTACACTGACATAAACTGTAACTTTTTAATTTGACATTTAAGCGGGCAAATATTTCACTCGAATTTAGCGGTATGTAAATCGTCTGCTGTTACACAATATAATATGCTGTACACTCGCTTCAAGTTAATAATTAAGTGCAAATCATCATCAAAATCACAAAAATGCACAAAAACACTGTTGATTGTTACAAGACTGCTAAAAGAATTCGATCATTACGAGTACGATATGCTTGACAAAAATATTCACAGAGCCTACCTGGTCTTTTAGTGTGTTTCATTTTCCCTCCGATCTTGCAATGCATTCCGAGTAGTCCTAACCTTCCATTTGTGTCATGGACGACCAAATGAACGACAAAGATGTGTGCTGATTTTTAAAAGTTCAATCATTACTTTTTGACAAAAAATGACGCCATAACCTAACAAGTCTTAGCTAGAGATCTGTGGGTTTTTGGATTTTAGTTATCATTCCAATAAATTACACATAAAGAGTGTGTTTTGACGCTAATAGCAAAAATGCATTGGCAACTTAAAATGCAAGTGAAGTTGACGACCTTACTCTCCCATTGGGTATATTTGACGCAGAGCGTAACTATCAAAACTGTCTGCTTTATTTCACTTTTTGTATAAAAATGATGAATATTCTTTATTGAGAACAGTGAGAAATGACAAAGAACAGTGATCAAAATTTGACTTAGAGCAGACCTTTTCAAGGCAAAAAGGGTGGTTCAATGGAACCCCCCCCCCAACCCCCCCTGGCAACCAGCCTGCTTGGAGCAATTGTTTTTTAAAAGTCTGTGTTTGCTTTCACATTCCACCACAAAGTTTACAGCTGCCATAATAATCACTACAGACAGAACAGCTCAAAAGGATGCTTTTTAATTTTTTTACACGTGGCCCCACATTAAACTTTGTCCAAACTCACCTTCAGTCGATTTGCAAAATTTACTTAGTGGTTCCTTATATCCAGAAGGTGCATTGGATTTTCTCTTGTCAGAAACAATATGTTGAACAGATGAGGTACCAGCTTCTGTAACATTAGTCAAAGGTAGCATCTGGTTGGAAATTGCTGCACTATTTGCATTGGATTTTCTCTTGTCAGAATCAATTTGTTGAACAGATGAGGTACCAGCTTCTGTATCATTAGTCAAAGGTTGCATCTGGTTGGAATTTGCTGCACTATTTTCTTGTTTATTTCCAAGATCAAGCTCGACACTCTCATAACTTTCAACATGCATATCTAAGCCGATGTCATCTTCACAATCGCCCTGGAGAGAAACTAACTCTGTCTTTACTGCAAAGTCATTAAAATTACTCTCTCTTTCTGAAATCTCATCTTCACGTTCTCCCTGGGATGAAGCTAACTCAGTTTTTGTAAAATCTTGTGCAACCTCAGCAGAACTTGACTCTCTTTCTGATGAAGCTAACTCAGTTTTTGTAAAATCTTGTGCGAAATCAACAAAACTTGACTCTCTTGCTGAAGTGTTTGTGTCTGTTTGATTTGTTGTCTGGCTATTTTGCGAAGTGTGATCTATAGCAGTTACTACTGGATGATTGATAAGTTTACCGACATCAATCATTTTTAACACAGTGTCACATAAAGAACACCTGAAAGTCAAATTTTGTTGTTTATCCTCTGTTGTTATAATATCCATCTTCATATGAATCAGCAGGTGCCCTTCTTGGCATATCTGTTGGCTTAAAGAAGCTGGTCTGCTCATGTCAATTCCCATTCTGTTTGAGTTAACAATGGAAACTGGTTTAAACTAGAAAAAATTGAAAAAAATTATCACAAAACAAGTCAAAACTGGCACTAAAGCCAATGTTGAAAAATTTCAGGAAAAAAACAGAATAACTAGAAGAATGAAAGGTAAGTAGAACAACAATTTGTCAATAAGGGCGAAACTTAATTCATAAGGCATGACATTCCTTTCCTATCCTTTTAGCAATGAGGGTGAGTAAAGCCGTTAGGGAGTAGTTATCTTTACCCTCTTGCTGATTCGGTAGGCGTGAGAGATATTTAAGCCAGTTAAGATGATAGCACTTTACTGAGACCCTCCAGAGAGTCAGACCTAGTCTAGGATTTCCCCTGAGACTGTCACTGGGTGTGTAGCAAAACCCACTCCCCGGATCATTTATGGCAAACCTACTTGCCAGCTTATCACACATTCCCCTAACAGACACCGAGTCAATTCCCCTTGGGGAAATACACTATAAGCTTTTCAAGCCATATTTAATCCGCCAATCTGTTAGCCTTCGAATAAACTTTAGTTGTGAATTAAGGCGGCGTCAATAAAGCTACCACTGTACAAGCATCTTAAAATTGGTAAACAAATCTACAAACTATTTGAGTAGAGGAGATATTACTCAAATTCACCACACAAATAATTTAATATTGAATGTCACCAAGTTTCATGGTGGGGGAATACAGCAAAAGTGTCAAAATTTCTTGCACCAAAAGCAAAAGCGTGGCTCAGTTTTTACTTACTATCGCCAAATACAGTGAACCTGAGTGGTCAAGGTTATTTAGTCTTCTGGTAGCTACAAGTGACAGTGATACACACCAAAGTGTTTGTTAGAGGAGCGTGAAAAACTTACCGTATAGAATCAGTGGTCACGAAATTATCATGTAGAGCGCACAGGTCCGGTGTCATAAACTGAATTGTTGTTTGGAGACAAAACTGTAGGTGGCGCTTTTCCAGGAGAGATTTCTTTATTCGTGTTGGTGCTAGTAGAGTGCTAACGAGTATTTTATTTTAAAAGGGGCACAGGTAAAATTAAATATCTGAATGTACATACACAATAGACAGATGTTGGCAGTCATAAACAGTCATTTCTCTACAGCATAATATCTGAAAACAACTGATAGACGGGTAGATAAATTTCATCTTCTTCAGACTTCACAACAAAACTGGTTGCAGCAGTTCGGGACTTGAGAAGGTGAGAGCCTTGCCTCAGTTTTCGGCCTTACAAGCTCACGGTACCCTTACCGCTGGTAAGGCTACCAGCGGTAAGGGTACCGTGAGCTTGTAAGGCCGAAAACTGAGGCAAGTGAGAGCCAAGTTAAAGGCTGAACGGGCTAAGTCATTACCATTTTACAGTTAAATTCAATTGTTTCTTTCAGCAAATAAAATAAAAGTCCACATTAGAAAAAAATTAAATACTAATATATTACATTTAAGGTGCAGTAGTACCTCTGGGTACACCACTTTTTTATAATAAAACCATTGATAGAAGCCAATTAAGTACTGAACATGTTTAAATTAATATGCAAATTGTCACAAGTCAGACCCCAAGCATACTAAATGTGTGAAGACTGGCCCTGTTTATACACATACCCCGGTAGATCATTTCAGTTACAGCTATGTGTTCACAGGAATAATTAAAACAAAAAAATTTTTTATGTTTAAAATAATATGTCATCTTTATCTTTCAGATTGCATTCCTCTCTCCACTGGTATGGGAATTGACATGAGCAGACCGGCTTCTTCAAACCAACAGATATGCCAAGAGGGGCACCTGCTGATCCATATGAAGATGGATGTTATAACAAGAGAGGATGGACAACAGACTTTGACTTTAAGGTGTTCTTTATGTGAAAGTGTGTTTAAGATGAGTGATGTCAGTAGATCTCCACTCCTGAATTGTCCAGTAGTAACTGCTGCAGGTCAAACTTTGCAAAATAGCCAGAAAACAAATCAAGCAGACACAAACACTTCTGAAAGAGAGTCCAGCTTTAATGACTTTTCTCAGGATTTTGTTAAAACAGATCCAGATTCAGTCTGCGGTGACTGTGAAGATGATCTTGATTTAGATATGCATGTTGAAAGTTATGAAAGTTTTCAGCTCAGTAATAAGAATTCTAGCAATATTGACCTTTGTGCAAATGAGGCAGATGTGTTGTACTCAAAGCCAATTGACAAAACCATTTCACCACTGTGCACTGATGCAGTCCCAAACAGCACAGAGAAAACAAATGAAAAGGAAATCACCTCAACAGTGGATAGAGGTACAAGAACACAAGATATTCAGCCAAGAAATATGGAATCATTTTTAAAACGTAAAATACAGAAGAGCCCCATTTCAGTTGAGCAGATACCCAAGAAAAACCCAAAGCTACAAGCCAGCAGGGGAACAATTAGTGTGTCACTGGAAAGATCTAATCAGCAATCTGATAATGATTCAAATAAGAATTGCACATCTTCTGGTCAGCCTTCTGTTTTTGCACAAATTAGCTCCAGTGAACGTAGGTTTAAAATTCCATCATGCAAGTTTTGCTTTGCTACCCACAGTGAATTTGGACAAAGTGTAGTGTGCAGCCACAAATGTCCTAAAACAGGTGGCACCATTTTCATATGTTCAGTCTGTAATGAGTACTACAGCAGCTGTAGCGTAGTGATTGAATGTGAAAGAAAACACAGACAGATAAATGCAACTTCCAGCAAAGAAGAATTCAAGTGTATAGTTTGTGATAAGACATTTGCTGATTTTGGAGAAACAAAGCGGCATGAAACTTGTCACATTCAAATTGATATTGGAATGACTGCTGGGGCATCCTTACTACATGAAGCAAACTCCATTTCTGGCCCTGGGAGACCTGAAGATGAAGACCAGAACAGTCATATACCTCATGCTGTCACATCATCCACACCATTGATACACAACTCTCAAGTGCCACCTTTGCCACAGGCTTTACAATTTTCCCCATTAAGTATCACTCAACATGAATTGGAGCAAATGAAATATAAGTCACCTGATGCTAAAGGCTTTTGTGTAAAATTAATGTGTAAAATATTTAGTAGAGCCGAGCGCTTGCAGAATGATAAAAATATTTTAGGAACTGAAAATGTTGCAGTTAAAAAAACAGCTTTTTGCCCCATTCGTGTACATTTCATTAAGGACTGTGTTCAAACTATGTATCCCAAAGATTTTCAGAATAATCCACAAAGGATGTGGAATAGGTGTGTAACAGCCATGAATACGGCCAATAGATGTCTCAGAAGTAGTAATAAGCAGAGGCAAGTGGAATAGTGATGGCACCGAGTGATGGAACATGCATAATTATGTAGTGTTTTTAGCATTGGACTATGTTACATTGTGATATTATTCATGCCATCAGTTTGCACAACTGATGGTGCTGTAGGTTCTGTGTTGTTCCATTTGTCTTGTAATGAAACAATACTGTTACATGTACTTAAAAATGCATTGAGATGCTTTTTTGTAATTTAAGCTGACAACATCATTTTAGTATTTTTATTTGGGGTTGGGGTGGGGGACTTTTATAGCTACTATTGAATAGATGTCTATCACCTGAACAGGTATGAGCAGCATTTTTGTTTTAAGGCCTATTTAACCATAACGTTAAGATAAAGTACCGCAAGTTAGTGTTGGTGCCTCAACCGTCCTTTTTTTCTGTAATTTTTAAAAGTACACTACATCGATCAAAATCAACATTATTAGGACCCTTACTCCCCCACACCTATACTTCCCCACATTATTGCCTCTCTGCTTCTTTACTCCCCCGCACCGATGCTCCCCCTATGCAATGTTTTCATATTACCGACATTGTAGCTCATCAATATTATATTTAAAAATAGGCCATATGAAATTGATAAGTTGATTAAGGACCTGGCAGCATGGCCTACCCTAAATTTAGGATTTGTTTTTCAAGTAGAGAAATGGATCGGGTATTGGTGTGCTATGTGGAAAAATTTACAATTGATTGCAGGGAAACCCTTGATGATGTTGTTTTTATGCTTTAAATGACCTACACTTTGGATATTTGACATGCCCTTTTGAATAAACATACCTCTTAAAATTCTGCCTGACCATAGAATTTAGTTGCTATGCTCATTTACCATAGTTCAATTTAAAAAATTGAATTCGTCTATTGACCATGTTCATATACATGTATATATATGAACATGGTCAATAGACGATGTTCATATACATGTATATATATACATGTACATGTATATTCACCTTTTGTTTAAATGTTACCATTTATAATGGGCCCCAAGCTGACACATGCCCCCTAATTTGGCAAAGTTGCTATTTTACAAAGTCTGTCTTTTAAAGCAATATGTCAAATGGCATTTTTATTTAAATTAAACTTGGCTGGATAAAAGTCTTTATCATCGTATCTGACCATTGGGTCAAAGAAAAATATTGCAAAAAAATGTTTTAACATTATTAGATAAATTCTATCAAATTTCCATAAGCACAATACTATTCTCTTGAAAACTGCTGATTAAAGGCGATTAGATAAAGTTCTGAAAAAAATTCAATCAACGTAAACTTTGTAACTAGCATGAATATATTTCACTTTGTCTTATCTTGGTATAAGGGATATTTTATCGGTGGATACTTTTTTCTCAATTCGTGTTGGCGAACATGGAGTGCAAACCATTTCGCCATAACGCAACAAAGGCGCCCACGTACGTGTGCTAGTCACGTGCATGCACTTCCACTAACTTTCCCACTTACTCCTTGAGGTTTTTCATTAGTGACAAAAGGCGTGCAGAAACGATCAATCAACCAGATACATTTTGAAAGTAAGTAAAAGCAATTTAACGCATGTTTTAAAGGGACACAAGTTTTAAAATATCCGTGGCGTCCGAGCAGGCCAGTGCAACGTTAACGTGTTTAGAATTCAGAGAATAAATATCCAAAACGTACACGAATTATAATGTACTTTACATCATACATGCATACAATACCTTGGCAGTCTTCAGCC